TAAAAATCACACAAGGGTCTGAAACGAGGATTCAGCCTCTGCGAATGTCTTCGCCACAGAGGTAAATACAGAAGGTGAGAGCACAGGCTGGCCTAGGCAGGTGCCCGTCTGATGCACAGCGGAGCACAGGTGGAACGAGAGAGGGGTGCAGGGCAGACACCACCAGCAAAAGTACGCTTACCCTCTACTTCCCACACTTCCGTGAGCCCCTCCAGCCCGCACCCCTGGCCGCAGGTGGAAGGCAGCCACACTGGGACTGGCAAGTGACCGAGAGCCTGGGAATTAAGGAGGTGATCCTCCTTCGCCCGAGATAGGTCATTCCTGCACTGTCGATGTTCCAGGGTTTGAACGGAATGTACTTCTCCCAAGCACAGAGCAGACGTTTCAGGCCAAAGCTAGGTGACATCAAACTGGGAGACCACGGCAGGAATGCTTGCCCTTAGCTGAAGGTCACGAACATGACGTCCCAGAGCCCCTCCAGCTCTAGAATGCTCATCATCTTTACTATCTTTAAAAGCCTTAAGAATTCTCCTTTGTAAAAGAGAGGAAAGGACAAAGTGCAAACATCTTTCAATGATCCCTTGAGGCAACTCCATGGTATAATGCCACCATGCGACCTACTTCAGGAAGCAAAGCATATGACATTGTGTATTATGTAATTCAGACGCGCCTAAACAAGGTCTGAGCTGAAGCACTGCTCCTTTTTAAAGGCACCCGGGTTAGCGTCAGGCACTTGGATCGAGCCTCGTGCGCTGTCTGCCTTCCTGCTGCCCTGATTTGGGGCACAGGAGATGGATCACCTCCGTCCTGCTTGCAGGGAGTCCACAGCCAGGCAGAACAAAGCCAAGGAGAGGCTGGCTGTCCTCTCTGTGAGCACAGAGGAGCAAGCTAAGTTCCGCATGTCATCATCACTTTTCCTATCACTTTTTCACCCCTTCCACTGGGAGCTGACTGTGATCATAACTCTGCCGATGCTCCACCCTCCCCATGCAACCTCTGTGACGAACACAGCCATCAAAGAAACACCGGATGAATGCTGACGAGTCTGCAATGTGTTCCACTGTAAGGTCTGGTCCCCAAATTTCAGATTCCAAGTACGATCTCAAAGTGACATCCTATTTCCTTCCATTCCACAAGTAGGCTAAAATCCCTAGCAGAACTCATTTGCAAGGAAAGAAATTTTCCATACTAGATGCATGCTCTTGTAAGAAGCAGTTAACTTAGGGTCTGCAAAGGCCTGCCCTACGGGCACAGAGGACATCTGTTTCTTCCCCTCACAGGAGGGGACTCAGGTTCACACGGTTTGAGTCACATATAAACACAACCTCAGGCCACTGCCCAGGCGGACATTCAGCGAGACAAGCGACAGGATACTGCACCTGAGAAGAGTCCGGAGTTGTCTATTGGGCCGGGAAACAGGTTGTGCTCACCCACGTTGTACATATCCCAGCTGTCGAAGCCCACATACTTCTTCCACTGTTTGAACCACCGGCTGTCGATGAGATACCTAGAGACAGACACAAATGTACTGTAGCAGACAAGCTGAGGTTGTGAAGTTTCTGCAGCTACTCCCTTAATTTTTTTTTTACAGTCTTCCAACTTGGGGAACTGAAAAAACACTCTCCAACGGGAGCAGGGCCAGGCCCCACGTGGCACAGAGAGTCACGCATACTTCCCAAAGTATCCCATAAGGGAAATGATTGCTGAAAGAATAAATGAAAAGAAGGAAATGACTGGCTTCAAAAAGCTTATTTAAAGGAGCTATTTCACCCTGGCTGGTGTGGCTCAGTGGATTGAGTGCTGGCCTATGAACCAAGGGGTTGCTGGTTTGATTCCCAGTCAGGACGCATGCCTGGGTTGTGGGCCAGGTCCCCAGTAAGGGGTGTGCAAGAGGCAACCACACATTGATGTTTCTCTCCCTTTCTCCTTCCCTTCCCCTCTCTAAAAATAAATAAATAAAATCTTAAAAAAAAAAAAAAGAAAATATTTCTATGGCTAAAATCTTGTTTGCTAATAACCAAGTCACTAATTTCGTCCTTGCCCAGGTAGACAATTTGGTTACACTGCTTTGCTTGACATGAATAGCATTAAACTAAATTTTTTCTGAAAGTGGGATAATAACACACTTCAGAAGTCCTTTAAAGACCAAACAAGATATCTAAAAAAATAAATAAATAAAAACAAGTGGCCCTGGCCAAATAGCTCCATTGATTACAGTATCATAACCATACACCAAGGATTAGGGTTCAATCCCCAGTCCAGACACATATAAGAATATAAGAATCAACCAATGAAGGCATAAATAAGTGGAACAAGAGATCATCGTTTCTATCTCACTCTCTTAAATCAATAAGTAAAAATGTTTTAAAAATGTGTGTACGTGTGTGTATACACAACACAGAGAGATCTGTCTGGAAAAGATCCAGCCATTATTAATATAATGAGAACAGTTTGCACAACATCAACATAACCTGACAGCCAAAGAAAGTAGACTGGAATGCGCATGTGTGAACAATGACCACTTCACTGTACTAGTCAGTATGGGAGTAGACGCCATTGAGTGAGCATGTGTACTGTGTGGCCATCGAATTCAAAATGACTGAGTGAGTAGAACTATGACTTTGAGTCAAATTTTGCATTAAGCTTGAACATCCCTCTGTGGAAACTATTCGGATGATTCAGAAGGCCGCAGCTACGGGCAACTGGTGATTGGCAGCTTCATCATGACAACATGTCCGCTCATGCGTCACGTCTCAAGCAGAGTTTTTGGCGAAACATGCAATCACCCAGGTGACTCAGCACCCCTAGAGCCCAGATTAGGCGCCCTGTGACTTCTGGCTTTTCCCAAAACTAAAATTACCTTTGAAAGGGCAGAGATTTCAGACCATCAGTGAGATTCAAGAAAATACCACAGGGCAGCTGACTGCGACTGGGAGAACTGTGAGAGGGCCCAGGGAGCCCACTTTGAAGGGGACAGAGGCGTCACAGTCACAGTCGTATGTACACTGTTTCTTGTATCTTGTATCTTCAATAAATGTCTCTAGTTTTCATTCTACATCACTGGATACCTTCTGGACAGACCTCATATACATATACACACATGCATATGTAATAGTGTCTACATATATTTTTCTTGCCCAAAACCAAGTTGATCTGGTTATATTTTAAAGCTATTAAAAAAAAAAAAACCAAAAACCCATAACCTGGGCTCGTGCAGCTCAGTAGACTGAGAGCCAGCCTGTGAACTGGGAGGTCACTGGTTCGATTCCTGGTCAGGGCACATGCCTGGCTTGCAGGCCAGGTCTCCAGGTGGGGACATGCAAAAGGCAGCCAAATGACGTTTCTCTTGCACAGTGATGTTTTCCTTTTCCTCTCTTTCTCCCTCCATTCCCCTCTCTCTAAAGAGTAAAAATCTTAAAAAAAAAACACATAAAAGTATCTTTATGCTGTTTTACAATTAAGACAGAAAGAAAGAGGAGGAAATCTCTGTGGGGAAACAAAACACAACAATTACGTGGTGAGCCCTTCAAATTTTATAACCAACAAACCTCAGAGATCAGGCGGCTTCCCAGAGGCCACGAGGATCCGTAAAAATACCTTCAAATCTTTGAAATGCTTTTTTCCCTCCAAACACTTGTAGTGTGTCATTTCAGTCTCTCTCAAACTCCCTATGCTCCTGCTGAGCATTCTTCAACCATCCCCCTATGCAGAGAAACTTCTAGAAGCGCCTCTGCGTGCTCTGCCGTCCACAGGTGGCTGGCTCCAGTGTGTCAACGCCTCCTAACCCCAAAGTCTCTCTTCCCTACTCAGCTCCCTCCTCACTGTGAGAGACATCATCAACACCACCACGGTTTTGAAAGAGGGACGCTCAGTCATGTTCAATGCAAAGCCAAGCCCCACTCTTATACTCCCACACGATAATCCCACACAGGAATCTCTTTTAGTGGAAGGACTGTCCCTTCTCCTACACAATTTATTAAGAAAACTCTTGCCTCAGATTTGCTCTTCTAAACGCCGGGCTTATCTTTTTATCTAGGCTCCGCAGTCCTGCCGCCGCCACAATCATTTTTGACATTTGCTACTAAAATGACCTGGGACTCGCAGACATGTATTTGTTCAGCTTGACCTTGACATCTGTTCTGCAGCTTACAAGTTACAAAATACCTACTTCAGAGCTTCGCCTCTACCCACTGAGGCAGGGGTGAGGGGATGCTTTTAATAGGAAGGACCCCGGTCTGTGAGGGGTGGACACCTTCGCCCAAGGTCACTCAGCGAGTCCTCGAAGGTAAAGGGCTCTTCCCATCCTCAAAGTCCGCGTGAGCACTCCCCATTTACCCCATCCAGCAGCCCTTTCCTCCGCTAGGTCCGCACCCTGGGGCTCGGCAAGGGCCGAGACGACCCTCAACTCCGCCCATACTGCCCCCAAAATAATCTCAGGGTCCCGCTCCTGAGGGGCCGGAGTCAGGCCACTCTCCTCAGGGTCACTAACATCGCCTCCGCTGGGCCCCTACCCAAGCCGAGAAGGAGGCTCCTAGCCTGAGCGCCAGAGCCCCGGCCCCTGACCCTGCGCGGCGGAAAGGAGGGCCCGGCGCTCACCACTGCGCCCCTCGTTGGAGCGTGGTCCTCATCAAGGCCCTAAGTTCGGATTTCTGGGTCTCCGCATCAGGTCGCTCAGCGCAGCCTCCGCCTTCCGCCATCTCGTCCGCGGCCCCGGCCCAGCCGACCCGGACATCCGCCTCGCGCACAGCGTGCTGGGGACCGCGCCCACTCACGCCGCACGCACGCACGCGCACGCACGCGCACGCGCGCGTGCCCAAGCCCCACCTGGCGCCGGGCCCTCGAGCGCCGGCCCGCCTCCGCCCTCTGTCCCCGCCCCACGCACCGCCCTCACCCGCGAGTGCGCGGTGGAGGGGGAGGGGGCCGGAAGAGGAGGCGGGCCGCCGGGAAGGCGCGGCCGCTTCCTCCCACCCTGTGGTCCGCTCGGGAGGGCGTAGGTCACTCCTCTCTCTCTGTCTCTCTCTCTCCAGCCCCGCTATCTGCAGGAGTCACACTGCAGGTCCCGCGACTCCCCAGTTGGAGGAGTTCATTGAGGGGACCTGATGGCCAGTTGCCCCGCGAGTTGAACCCGGGCAACCGGAGCCCCAACCCACCTTCCCTTGATCCGTGGAGTGTGTATCCCGCTTGCCCTCGTGCTCTATAAGTGCCCAAGGACGCAGTTTTGAGATAGCAATGCTGTGTTGAAACCTTCTGGACGGTATTCGTGACTCAGTTAAAAAGCCTCTCTATAAACTTGATTTCTGGTGGGCAGGTAGGAGATCAGCTTTTTCGGCTGCCCAAGACAGGCTTCCTATGTAAATCCTCTGCCACCTACCAATCTGGAGTGGCCAGCTCCGAAGGTTTCTCCGGGCACTCCACACTAGGGGCGGTTTCAGATTACACGCGCCAGCTCCACAAGCCCTCCACACTAAGTTAGCTACTTGCCTGTGTCAGAGGGTCAGCAGCCACAGGGGAGTGATTCCGACGGGGGAAGATCGGGAGAGGTCCAGGTGTGCTTTCCACCTTCAGTGCCCACGCTTCTTAATTTGCTGCAACGAGTACAGTGTCCTGAACACTTTGTTTTCCCTCTCGACCTTGCACACAAAAACAGCCCTTCTCTTGGAGGGGGATGGAAACCCAGAGCAAGGTGGGGGCCAGACGGTTGGCCAACATGAGTCCTCCATTCACTCGTCTAGCACTTCCTGTCCTCAGAGAAAAATAAGATCAAGACCCGGTACCTGCCTTTATACAATCTAATGGCAGAGGAGAGATCTACAAATACTTGCAGCCGCCAAGCGGTGCGTGGTAAGTGCCATTAAAAGGGGTGAACCAAAGACCGTAGACCCGGAGCTATGAAAGGGAGCTTTTGACTTGAGTAGCATTTGAGTGTGGTCTTGAAGAAAGCCTAGAAACGATGGTTCCTGTTACAGGAGGGGATCAGAATTTCTGGAAGAAGCAGGGCAGGATTCAAGAATGAGGAATGAGCCCCTTGAGCTGAGCACAGACTATTGAAAGAATCTGAGGTCTATAACTTTCTAAATCTGCAACTTTCTAGATCTGCACATCCTGCCTTAAATGGCCACAGGTACTGTGGGGGGTTTTGGAGTTGAAAAGAAATGGCTGAGGGCGCTTTACATCCAAAGTGGTGCAGCCCAGAGGCTCACAAGGAACCTTTCCCTGCAGAGGTGGATACAAGGGAGGAGAGAAGGACGAGCTGTGTTCCTTGTTGGAGGTAGAGAAGGGAGAGCTAGCCTGGGGCAGGTGTGTCGGTCATTTGAACAGATTTACTATTTTTGTGTTGGGTTATGGCTAATTGCAATTAATTTCTACTCCCTGGGACATCCATTATGCACTGTCCGGTAACAGAGGCCACTTCACACTTGGGTAGGTAACAGGGGGGAGTAAATTTTGGAATGAAAACTGCCTTCAGTAACCACATAGCAGTTGGTAATCTGCAGGTAAGAGTTACCGCTGATGCAAGTTGTGCGTCTGCGGAGCCAACCCTGACAAACATGAGTACCCTTTTGTGAAAGTTCTTTGAAACTGTTAAATGTGTTCAAACGAGGAACACTACCTTCAGCCCTGATATTTATGGAAAAAGAAAGTTGGGTAACCAAAATTGCTTCAGAACCTACATTAGAGGGTGTCTGCTTCCCTCTTCTTTTTTTATCAGCTTCTCCCATACCATTTATGGCGTGGGTCAGAGTCTTAAAGAAGTGGGACAAGTCCTCAACACCACTAGAAAGGAGGACAAAGCCTAATTATGAAAACAAAAACTAGGGGAAATCTTTTTAAACCTGGATCTCCTCAGTGCTGTTAAATTGCTGTATAAAAATAGTGCAGTGATGCCCTGGCTGGTGTGGCTTAGTGAACTGAGTGCTCGCCTGAGAACCAAAGTGTCACCAGTTCGATTCCTGGTCAGGGCACATGCCTGGGTTGCAGGCCAGGTCCCCTGTATGGGGACACACGAGAGGCAACCACACATTGTTGTTTCTCTCCCTCCCTTTCAAATTTCTTTTTAAAAAAAACAGTGCAGTGATTATGGGTATTTCCTAAAATTTCAAGTTAGACAAAGTGCCAGTAGTTAAAATGGAAGGGATCAAGTGAAATTTCATAGTCAGGAGACAGATTCATAATTTCCAAAGCTTTAAAACTTTTTAAGTGAGTGTGATTAAATGTTACAAACTGAGAACTAGTATCAATGAGCATCTGCCGCTGTGTTCCTGCCGTGTTCCTGCCGTCATGGGAGTGACCCCATACAATTCAGAGGACAGGAGTTGAGTGAGTCATCTCAGGAGACACCCTAGCCCCAGGGTGGTGTGCTGCTTTGCGCCATTTGCAAGGGAGAGATGTAGGCCCAGTAGCACTCACTTGACCACAAGACCAAACTCCAGAACTGAACAGCCCACTTGTTGCCATGGAAACTTGGGCCACAAGAACAGGAAGGAAAGCAGGAAGTTAGCTGTAGGGAAGAGGCCTGGCTGACTGGCCAGGTACTGCTCGATCTAGATCTGTGAAGATCCATTGATATTTGGGAGTGTGTAGTGTCTGGTTGTGTAAACTTTAAGTTTTATTTGGTTCCAAGTCATAAAGTTCTTGTCTTGTCTTGGCAGGTGCCATGGCTTGCTCTGCACCTAGCTGGCACCGGCCCTCCCAAGTTACCCGGTCCTCACTGGGGCAGCGCTGAGCACGTGTCATGGTATTCACAATTACTGGGCACTTTTTCATTAGAGGCGACATCAGGAGAGAAATATTTTCCTTGCCTGTGCTTCCTCAACATGTCCAGGGGACTGCAAAAAAAGTTAAAAAGCTCTAGAAGCACATTTTAAACGAATTAAAAGTCCTATCAGTGACCTTTTAACTTATGCTATATAAGGGTCAGGTTATTGGGGAAGGTGACAGAGGCAGAAGCCTGAAAGAATCTCAGAGAAGGAGGAGGACCACCGTTCTTACCTTGGAGACTCATGCTGTTGGACACCCCCATCCCGGTCACGCCACTGCCGACGGCCAGCCCTGATGGGTAAGAAGAGTGCAGGGCCCTGGGCCCAGGTGTCTTCTCTTTTTCCTCCCATTCTGTGACCAGCAATGTCTTAACCATAAACAAGTATTTAGATGTTAGTTGTGTGTGTTGTTCACCCTTTGCGCAGAGCAACTCTCCGTAAATGTTTCTTGGATGAATGGATGAAAGCATTGTGCAGACTGGTCATTTTTTCCACTTGACTGGTCATCTAATATGTGCTCACAGTCCCTACCCTCCAGGGGTTCACAGCCAGTGTGGTTGGGGAAGACGTTTTCACACGCAGTGATAATGTCCGCTGTTGTGTGATCAAAGTGCTGCAGGAACATGGAGGGTGGGGCTGCAGACACTTCTCTGGGCAGGAAACTTAAGCAACCCGTGTCGGGAGCATGCTTAACGTCCCCCAGCCTTTGGGGGTGCACGATGAATCTGCCAAGGAATGCTCGGGGGACCAGGGCTTCTTTGGATTCATATTCATTCACAGGAACAGTCACGTGCCAGGGACAGAGGAAGCTGGGGTAACAGGAGGGTCCTCGGCAGGGAGACCCCTGTGAAGCTGGGGGGCCTGCAGCACTGGAGGACACCACCACCCAAGGTGAGCTGCCCCTGGACACTACTCACACTCCAGGTGTTTGGACCAAGTGAGCCTATGCTGTGGCCTCCTACCCTGGCCTGGCTGTCCACAGCTACGCTGGAGCTGGGAAGGGCGCAGGGGGTGGGGCTTCTGTCTGCAGGATGAGTGATGGACAGGCTGCTGTGCCCACGCCTACCACCTCACTATCCCATCATGTCAATTTCCTGCTTTTGAATGCAACTAACAAAATACCCACCGACAAGTGGCCTACCTAGCTGATTCATTTTAATACTCACCCAAGGATATATTTTATTATTGATTTTAGACAGAGGAAGGGGGAGAGAGTGGAAGGGGGAGAGAGTGAGAGAGAGAGAGAGAAACATCAATCTGTTGCCCCCCACCCCACACGTGCCATGACCCAAGGATCAGACGGCAACATTTGTGGTGTAAGGGATGATGCTGCAACCGACTGAGCCACCCAGCAAGGGCCTAGCTGGGGACTCTTGTTTTTCTTTTGTTGCAGGACAAGTCTGGAGTCATTCTTGGGGAGGTCACAGCTCAGAGTTTGCTTCTCTGTTGCTTCCAGAGCCAGGATGCAGACTCCCGAGACCTCACTAATGGAGCCAGAACTTGCGTCTGCGCCCCGAGCCACCCACCTGGCAGTGCCTGATGGGAGGAGGCCTGTGTGCAGTGACCTGTTGACCGTTGACCGCTGGAGCAGGGCTTTTTCGGTGCAGTCCCAGGCGTGCCGCCCCTCGGTGACACACTTGCCGCCAGCCTCTTCGGTGACTGTGAGGACAAAACACCCTTCCAAATTCAAAGTCCTCCAGCAGGAATCCCTGCCCATTCTTAAAAAATCCATGCTGTGTTCTCCGAGGGGACTTTTTAGCCAGTACTTTTTTTTTTTTTTTTTTAGTATTGTCCCAAAGTTAAAACTTACGTGATTTATTAGGCTGATCAGGCTGGGAGTGCTTCTCTGACAAGAATCTTGTTTTAGCCCTGGCTGGGGTGGCTCATTGGATTGAGTGCTGGCCTGGGAGCCAACGGTCTAGATAAATAAGTAAAAAATACTCTTTAAAATAAATTTTTAAAAGATTTTATTTATTTATTTTTAGAGAGACGGGAAGGGAGGAAGAAAGGGAGAGAAACATCGATGTGCTAGAGGTACATCCATCGGTTGCTTCTAGTATACCCCCAACTGGGGACATGGCCTGCAACCCAGGCATGTGCCCTGACTGGGGATTGAACTGGGGACCTTTGGTTCACAAGCCAACACTCAATCCACTGAGCCACACCAGCCAGGGCTAAAAAAAAAAAAAAAAATTTAAAAATTTAAAAAAGAATCTTGCTTTAAATGTTGTTTTTGAAACTACATTGCAACAGAATAAGCAAGTCATCTGATAAAGGACTAATTGTGCAAGAAGTGCCTGACCAAATTTTATCAGATTTTTAAAAAATTGAGGTATATAGCCTGGCTGGCGTAGCTCAGTGGATTGAGCGCGGGGCTGTGAACCAAAGTGTCGCAGGTTCGATTCCCAGTCAGGGTACATGCCTGGGTTGCAGGCCATGACCCCCAGCAACCGCACATTGATGTTTCTCTCTGTCTCTCTTTCTCCCTCCCTTTCCCCTCTAAAAAATAAAGAAAATCTTTAAAAAAATTGAGGTATAATTAACAAACAAAATTATAAAATATTAAAGTATTGCATACCATAGTGATTTAATATACATAATTGTATCTGATTTAATGTTAAAAGAAAAAAAAGCAAAGGCAAAACAAAAAAAAAAAACAGCATTTCTGGAAGAAGTGCTAAAATTCGAGTTTCTGAACCCAGGTGAACAATAGCAGGGCCCACCCCTTTTATAACACCTGTGGTCTGAGGGCCCCTGTGTCCTCCTGCTCAGCAACGTCCTGCAGCCCACCTCCTCCAACCGCCCCCTCCATTCTTTGAATTTAGTTGTTTGTTTGAGCTGCTGAATCACAATGGGCTGGGGTGGGTACAGGTGGCATGTGTAGGAGTGTGTGTGCTTACGTGTTGGGAGGAAACGTCCAGCTTCTTGGGGAGGAAGCCGAAGTGTTCACGGGCTTTATTTACCGGAGTCTTCCTGGAGAGGAGGGGGTTGGAAAGGACTCTCAGGGAAGGGAGGCAGAAGCTTGAGGCCTGAGCAGGATCCTCGCCAGTCGCCAGCCGGGGTCAGCCACACAGGAAACTGAGAAGAAGTTCCCTTCCCTGGTAGCCCAAGGCTTGCAGCAAGAGGGAAGACAGTGGGAGAGGAGGGGTGAATCACCAGGCAGCCTGTGGGGAAGAGGTGGAGTCCGTTTGGAAAGCCCTGGTTGCCATCTTGGGGCCTCAGCAGACTGGGCGGCTCGGGCGGCCGCACAGGGAGGGGGAGGGTTTGATGCTGGGTCAGCATCTCTGGCGGAGGAGCACAGGTTTCACAAGAACCTAGGTGACGGGAAGAGGGGAAGGGAGGACGAGTGTGAGAAACCTCGATCGGTTGTCTCTCGCACGACCTGGCCTGCAACCCAGTCACATGCCCTGACTGGGAGTCCAACTGGCGACCTTCGAGTCCTCAGGCGGGGGCTCAGTCCCCTGAGCGACAGCAGCCAGGGTGCACCTGGGCGATTCTCGAGTGCCGTAGGTTTAGCTCTTGGGGCAGGGCCTGGCACTTCACGGCACTGGGCTCTCTGGCCTCGCTCCCAGCTGGGCGCCTGAAACTGCACTTGCACGATCCGCAGCACTTGACCCAGCCGAATGTCATTTACGGAATATCCCCTCCCTCGGTCCCTCGACACCACCCTTGCTCCTCCCAGCTGTGGCTCTCTGCCGCGGGACCTGGAAGGACTCGTAGGCCTCGGGGCCCACACCCCCTGATCTCTTTCTTGCCACCCTCCCCAAGTAATCTCATCCCCTCCAATGGCTACGTACCTGTTCCCTCGGCTACACCGTTGTCTCCAATCCATACTCCTTTCGGAGCCTCTTGTAACTGTAACTGCTTGCCCTGAACAGTGCCATCTGGATGTCTCACGCACCACCTCTGGATCTGAGCGCATCCCCTCCCCTAGCCTGCTCCCGAGGCCCCCTTCGGGCCCTTACACGCTGCTCGCTGCCAGTCTGGCCTCCATCAGCTCGTTCCTCGGCCAGCTGCGTCTGGACCTGTCTTCAGCTTCGCTGCTGCTCCCTCCAGAAGTCAAGCGTGACCCTCCCTACCGGGCCGGGCCCTCGACGTTCCCCGCACTGCCTCACAGAACTAAACATGCTTTTACTAACTACATAGCCTTCCTGCCTGCCTGGGGACTGTGTCCCCGGCACCCCGCAGAGCCCTTGGCACAAGACTGGAGGGCGATGGTGCCGTCCGGAGGCCAAGGGCTTTTAGGGGAGCTGTGGGGTGTAGGAGGTCGCGGGTGCCCCGGGTATACCCAGATACACCAGATGGGTTGCTGTTCTCCATTCCGGGAGTCAGATTTGAAGGCCACAGATGACCAAAAGTCCCTGGCCCTGTTTGAGTGGAAACTCCTCCCCTTTACACTGACAAACACTTGCTGACTCATGTCACATGCCAGGCCCAGTCCACCTTCCGGGCTCTCGCCCTGTGGGGAAGCTGACCGGTCATAGATGCAATCGAGACTCGTGAGTTCTGAGAGGAGTGCAGGTGGGGTGGGGCCCGAAGGGAGGACAGACAGCACTGCCCTGCTCACCTCAGAGGGGACTCAAAAGCTGAGCTGGAGCTCTGGCTGGTGCGGCTCTGTGGCTTGAGCACTGGCCCGTGAACCAAAAGGTCACCAGTTCGATTCCCAGTCAGGGCACATGCCTGGGTTGTGGGCTGGGCCCCCACTTGGGGGTGTGTGTGAGAGACAACCCATCAACGTTTCTCTTCCTCACGTCTCCTCTGTGTGAAAATAAATACTTTTTTAGAAGAGCTGGAGTGGAGAGGCCTTGTAGTCAGAGAGAGGTGGGCCTGCGCAGGAGTTCAGATGGAAGAGAGCCAGGACTGAGGCCCCGTCACCCCCTCAGTGACCTAAGGGCAGACAAGAGGGGCAAGGCAGCAGCGCAGATTCCCAGTGCGGGCTGAAGGGAAGGTTCTGAGAGCTGGCTCAGCCACTCAAACCACCGATTTGAGCGTGGGTGCCAGGACCCCGGAACTCTGGCCCACGTTCGGGACTGGGCCCTTGTCTGCCCAAGCAGATGCTGCATCCGGGCCCTGAAGACGCTCTCACACCGTGATAGCACACGGTTCCATGCCTGCACGGGAAGATTACCGACAGCAGGGCCAGGAGATGGAGAGGTCGGACCTGAGCCACACCTCAGACACAGCAGCTGGCTGCAAGATATGTCCCTACCCGGAGCCTGACTATGCATTTGCCACTGCCACGTGCCGTGCAGGGCACGGTCAGAGGGCCAGTTGTATACTCTTCTCACTCTGAATACACGAGAAGCAGCCACCAGTAAGGACAGCACTGGAGCAGGGGTAAGCACTAGGTAGCAGTATGCGAAGATGTAGCAAAATAATGGGCAAAGGATTTGTCATGTTGCATGAGCTCCCAACCGTGTTCAACAGGCTTGTGTGGGCCTAACGTTGGGAGAAGCCAGGCCCTGTGAGTGGGAGCCCATGGGGTTATTTTGTGTGAAGGTCCTTTCATACCCGGCAAATGCTCAGAAAGGAGGCGCCTGCTCCTGGGGTTAGGAAGCCAGCCCTGACCTGTCTCCCTCTTTCTGAAGTAAGGACTTTCCCTTCTAACCGGGCCTTGGGAGGGCCCCACTGCCTGTCCTGGGAGAGGGAGAAACACGGACAGGAGCCGGGCTGCCCACGTAGGGAAGGGTGGCTCCCACACACCGCAGAGAAAACGAGAAGTTCAGTCTCGGCCAGGGGTGGGGGGCTCAAGCTCCCAGCCCCATGACAATGAGTTTAATAGGGAAAGGCGGGGACACTGACGCAGGACACACACACAATTCTGGTGACACTGGAAAGTTTATTGTGAAAAGCCTCGGGCATAGGCGGGGGTGGCTAGGGTGGACAGACCAGGGCCCATCTGGAGGGAGTTTCCTGGGCATCAGGCATTCCTCCTTGTGGGTTTAGAGGAGACGCCTTCATGGATGAAATCTCCAGAGGGCAGCGCTGGGACCGTCAAGCAGCAGGGCCAGCAGGGGCGCCCTAGGCGCTGCTGGACGCCTTGGTCAGCAGGGCTTCGATGTCGGGTGCGATGTCAATGGTCGGGAAGCGGCGGCTGTACCGGCGCACAGGCACGCCGTCCGGGCCCACCAGGAACTTCTCGAAGTTCCAGGAGACGTCGTTGCGGCACACCGGGGACCAGGTGATGAACTTGGGGTCGGTCATGAGCGCAGTGGCGTCGTCACTGGGTGCCGGCAGCGCCTCCCGCAGGAAGGCGAAGAGCGGGTGTGCCTGCTCGCCGTTCACCTCGCACTTCTCGAAGAGCGTGAAGTTGGGCTCGAACCCGCCACCAGGTCTGACGTACTTGAGGCAATTCAGGATCTCTTCGTTCTTGGCGTTCTCCTGCGGGAGGAAAAGAGCAGCTGGGAGCCAAGCCCTTGAGGAAAAACCTTCTGACCGCCAACGAGGGGGGTTTTGGATGACTCACCAGGCTCTTTGCCCTTGTTGCACAACCCGGGGTGTGTGTGGGCGGGGCGGGCGAGCACTGGAGGAAAGAGGGCCTGCGGCGGCCTCTCCACACCCAGGACAGGACCTGAGGCTGCGGCGCCAGCGACCGCAAGGCCACCCTCCTGACTGCTCCCCCCCCCACCCGCCCCGCCGTACCCCCCACCCGGGTGCCGCTCCGCTCAGCGCACCTGATGCCCGAACTGGTTGCACGGGAAGCCGAGCACGACCAAGCCCCGGGGTCCAAAGCGCTGCTGCAGGTCGTTCATCTGGGTGTAGTCCCGGACGGTCGTGCCTCAGAGCGAGGCCACATTCTCAATGAGCAGCACCTTGCCCCGCAGGGTGCCCAGGCTCACCGGCTCCCCGCCGGTCAGCGGGCGTGCGGAGAAGGCGTACACAGAGCGCGCGGCCGCCGCCGCCATCTGAGCAGCGCACATGGCGTGAGTCCAGGACAACGCCAGGGAGCGCCGGGGACAGGATCACTAGGGTGGCTGGGGTGCACCTCCTTTTAATAGGCAAGCAGTGACATCACGTGGCTCGGGCACTTTTCCGGCCGCCCCACCCCCTGGGTCCCGCCTCATCCGGCCTGCCTGGGCGGGTGACCCGCAAGGCGGGAGGGTGAGACCTGGCCGGATGCGGACACCGCCCAGACCCGGCGCAGGAAGCGCAGCGCAGCGCCCACACTGCTGCGGCCGTCCGCTACCCCAACCGTCAACCGGGCCAAGGCCTCAAAGCTTCATGTTAGGGGTTGGATCCGGCCGGAGGAGACAGCAGCGCGCGCTGCTCCTGGCCACACACACCCCTCCCCGCCTGGGCCGTGCTGCTGTTGTTGCAACACGTGCCCTATTGTGGCTGAATGCAAGTTGTGACTTGCGGTGAGGGTGCAGTTGGCAGCACCTGCAGAGGCAAGTTCTCTCTGCGATGAGGCTCTGTCCGTGGTTTTAAGGTTAAGTAGAAGGGCGGGCAATGCCAGAACAGCCAGGGCTCAGTCCCCAAAGCCATCTCTTTCTAACTCATGGCCCTGCATCCTGGGGCTCTCTGGAGCATGTTTGCATCCAGGCCTCCTGTCTCCCTCCTCCCCGGCCCATGGCACTGCCCCACCACACTGCCCCGCATCTCAGAATGGAGCCTGCCGGCTGGACCCTCCATGTCCGATCGACCTCCTCCGGGCCTCAGACCGACACTGAAAGTGGACAGGGAATGAGAAAACGATGTCACACTCCTGATGTGTGTGGAAACAGGACTGCTTGGAGTTCAAGCATCCCCATGTCTCCTCAGTAGGCTGCATGCCCCACTTCCTCCCACTGTGAACCTGAATGTGACACAAGATTAACTGTTTCCATGTTCTTGCAAGGAGCCAGGTTGGTGCCCCATTGGAGAAGGGGGTGGTAGGCAAGCTGGCACTTAGTACCCTGAAGGCAGAGTCCATCCTCCCAGCCCTGGAGAGAGTAACACATTAAACACCAGAATACAGGAAGTTTAGAAAACTGCCTTTATTCTATTAGTAGTTGGAAAAATTAACTGGTACAGAAAAAAAGTTTAGTCAGCTGGAGAGGAGAGAGAAACCGAGAGCCACCCAGGAGGACGGGCGGCTCCTCCGGGAAGGAACCTGGGTACGGCGAGGAGAAGGAGCACTGCGAGCTCGAGCCAGACCTGAGCTCGAGCCAGACCTGCGGTCCAGAGAGACAGCGCACGCCACCCTCGGCAGTGTCTCAGCGCCTCGGGCACCAAACCCTGTTCCTGCTCACTCAGCCCAGCTCTGGGTGGGGGCAGTCCTGGGGCACGTGGGGCTGAAAACAGGGGATATGGCCATCTCTTATCAGAGAAACTGACAAAGCGGGAATTTTAAAAATGAATTTTCCATCTGACTTTATTTTCAAATACACTTTCTTTTTAAAAAAAACCAATACACTTTCTGTGGGGATGACAAATATCAGTATTAGGAAATCCAATTATACAAAAAATACTACATCTAGTCAGGGGTAGATATATTTATTTTTTGGTAACATACATTAAGTGGCACTAATTACACAGTAACTATAAGGTAACTAACATGAAACCACAGAACTGTAACTTTGCCACAGCTGCACAGACTCTGGGCCTCTGGCTGGGCGCGTTTTGAAAGAACTGGATGCCCACTCCAGAGCTATGCCAATGAAATCTGTTCAGAAGGGAAGTTCTCCAGTGGGGACTCGCCAGAGTACCTTGCAGCTGGCAGATGACAGGCAAGCCATGTTAGTTATGAAGTAGTTACAGCCTAATTCACAAAAGTTACCGTTTTCTCTTTCTAGAAAGAAGCAAGAAGTTAAGAAATTCCTTGAATTAGCGCCTGGTGCGTCAGGTGGGAGTGCAGAGGAGGGCTATTAGAGCGGTGTCAGAAAGACCCGATGGGTCAGGTGGGTAGGACATCAGTAATAATCATGGTTGGCTTCTAAATACTGGTAGCAAGATGACTTTTGATTTGTAATCTTAGGTAAATTATAGATAAATGAAAAAGGCCAGTAATCATACACTAAGATTAATAAACAGCACTTCAAGATTAACCGCATGAGGGTTGTGCTTGCAGCAGGGTTTCACAAGACAAGGCACCCAGATTTTTTCTTCCCACGTCTGGCTTGCAGAGCAGCTCTCGTGGCCATCTCGAAAACCTCCCTCACTCCATCTTTGGTCTTTGCCGAACACTCCATGTACCCAAAAGCACCAATCCTGTTTGCCATATCTCTGCCTTCTTCCGGTTTTACTGGCTCCTAGCAAAGAAAGAAGAGGACTTTCAGTTAACAGTGTCACATACATATAGTGAGTGGTTGTAGAGTATTAAAATTCAGCTAA